ATTTAACACTAGTCAACTGAAAATGTATTATATAATATAATATACTCTCAATAAATCAACCTTAACAATTTTCTTAAATGAAGACATAGATTAAACATCTTTACAGTGATCAAAGCATTCCACCATTTAATTCCCTGCACCGACGTGCAGCGGTCCTTCAAACTTGTTCTAACTTTAGGCTTTACAAACATCTCCAAACCTTTAAGATTATAATTACTGACTCTCTTAATAAAATGTGATTTGAATGTTCAGAGGTAAAGAATTTGTGTGAGCTCTGTACATAATCCGTAGAATACCATAATCAACCAGTTCATTAAACTTTAATAACTTAAATTGATGAAACAATATGTTGGATGGATGACTATAATGTTTTCTAGCAATGATTCTTATGGCGCTTTTCTGTAAAACAAAAAATGAATTTGTAAGTGTTTTACATGCCTTCCCCAGACCTCAATACAGTAAATTAAATGTGGAAATATTATGGCATTATACAATATAAGTAATGCTTCGTTATTAAATAACTCCTCAGCCTTATAAAGTACAGCAATTGATCTCGCTATGTTAGACCTCAAATAATTTATATGAGGCCTCCACGTTAACTTATCTTCTATGATTACACCCAGAAATTTTACTTCGCTCACTCTACAAATGTTATTTCCATCAACCTTAAATGAAGCATCACCCATTATTTATTTTTTTACTAAATATCATATGGTTCGTTTTTTCCAAATTCAATGACAATTTTTTTAGTCCAAACCAAGTCTGTATTTTCACAAACTCTGCTTGCATCACATCCAACATATGCTCCAAATTCTTTCCAGAAAAAAAAGTAGTATCATCGGCGAACATAACACATTTAAACAACTCCGAAACGTTTACCAGATCATTAATATATAAAAGAAACAACTTTAGTCCAAGTACGGAGCCCTGCGGGACCCCACATATAACATTACCAAAATTTGATCTTTCATCCTCTATTTGAACAAATTGCTTCCTGTTTATTAAATAACTAGACACCCACTTCAACACTGGTCCTCTTATGCCATATTTACTCAATTTATCAAGTGAAATGCAATGATCAATAGTATCGAAAGCTTTTTTTTAAGTGAACAAAAATACTAACACAATATTGTTTCTGATCAAATAGCTGTAGTTACTTCTTCTATCAGGTCCATGAGAACCATTGATGTTGAGTGTCCAGTTCTGAAACCATATTGGTTTCTACTCAAAATATTTAGTTTTTCGATAAATTGATCCAATATAATTACAAACAACTTTTCTAGAACTTTTGAAAACTGGGGTAACAATGATATTGGTCGATAATTGGTAAACATGTCTTTTACACCCTTCTTATGAAGTGGAATAACCTTCGCTATTTTCATGCCATTAGGGAACATTCCTGTAGAAAATGATCGATTACATATGTATGTAAAAGGCTCAACAACATAACTCATTATCTCCTTTACAAATGTCATATCCATGTTCATCCAATCCTTAGATTTATTTATTTGATATATGTTTTACCATATTCATTATTTCATCCTTATTAGTACCATCAAGAAAAAAACTATCCGAACAACCCAGTATTTGAGGAAGGTCTATTGTGTCCATAGAAAAAGTCTTAGATCTTGATCAGCTTGTGAAAAATGGGAGCAAAAACAAAAGTGTACATTGCATTAGATTGTGCAGAAAGGTTTTGGACAAGGTTTGAACAAGATATTAATATCCTAAAACTCTGGCATGAATGGTAGTGACAGCATGTAATCCTTCAGAGAATTAAAGGCCTTTATTCATTAAACTTTTTTTCTTGGTGAGATTTGTTTTTCATGGTGTGAAGTAATACAACTTCCGGGTTTGTTATGTCAGATATGTATGAGCTAAACTTTTAAAGGGGCAACATTATGTGTTTTTCAGGCATAGATTTAAATACTATACCATAATAAAGTATCTATGTCACCTTTAGCTGTTATTAAAATGCTGTTTTTATGTTTAAATAGAAAATAAACTTATCTTCTCATCACTTCCTCTTCTAAACGCCTTGCTGCGGGATTTCTCAAACATGCATGAATGAGTCAGAGCAAGGCTTTGGACATGTTTTTTATGAGAGTATAACATTATAACATGATATAAAACTCAAAAAAGTTGATTTTACATGATATTGCCCCTTTAAGTTAAAGAGATTGTTTTTATTCTGTTGCTACATAACTTTAATGTTTGATTTGATATATTTCATAGTTTTCTTTAGACCATTTCATCATGTGGATAACAAAGCTGGCATGGCTGCTTCTTCTGGCCACAGCAGCTTCAGCAACAGCAGTCAAAGTCCTGAGTAACCTGACCACCATCCTGGCTGACGGCAGCACCAGCCTGGCTTTTAGTCTCTACCAGAATTTGGCAAAGGACAAAAGTGTTGAGAACATTCTCATTTCCCCTGTGGTGGTGGCCTCCTCTCTGGGTCTGCTGGCTCTCGGGGGAAAGGGCTCCACTGCCTCCCAGGCGAAGAGCATCCTGAGCGCAGCCAAAGTTAAAGACGAGCAGCTGCACTCGGGTCTGACTGAGCTCCTGACCGAGGTCAGCGACCCGAAGACCCGCAACGTCACCTGGAAGATTAGCAACCGCCTGTACGGACCCAGCTCCGTCACCTTTGTGGATGGTTTTATAAAGAGCAGCAAAGCTCATTATAAATGCGATCATTCCAAGTTAAACGTCAGCGATAAGAAGAGTGCCGTTAAGTCCATCAACGAGTGGGCGACCAAATCCACAGAGGGCAGACTGCATGAGGTCACCAAGGATGTGGAGACTGATGGGGCCATGATCATCAATGCTATGTTTTTCAAACGTAAGTCTAGAAATATGTCTAATCTTAAAATTAAACTGTTTTTAAAACATAGGAAGGTGCTGAGTCAGCATTCATATTAGTGTTTTACTCATTATAGTTTCTCTCTGAAGTGTTTTGCAATCAAACTACTCCTTTTTCCTACTTTCTGCAATGTGAACCATGTGAAAATATTGACTTCCATCAGGAATAATGAGCTGAGATTTAGTTATATAAATATACATGTATCATTACATAAACATTCATACTTTTCAAAACATTTTCTCTTTATTTTCTTGTGATAGATACCTTGATCTCTTCAGTTTCTTCAAAAACTTTCTTTAAAAAATTGCTCTATTGTTTTACTTCTTTGCTGCTTTTTGCTGGCCTTTTTATACAATTACATTTTAACCTTTGTTCAGACACTTTTAGCTGTTGGCTATTACTTTGATGATGCCTTTATTGTCATTGTACGGAGCACAATGAAATTACATTTAAGAACACTCATTCAAGAAGACACACAAGACAAAACATGGGAGAACAGGTCATGCGGCAACCAGCAGGGGTCGTGCTTCCTTTAAAAAGAAAAATGCAATACCACACAAGGATTCTGTTTTGCTACTTCTGGCTAGAGTTTAGCTAATATTAGCTTCTGTTCTGCTGATTTAAATTGAACATTTTATTTGTAAAGGTGTTTATATTTTTCCACAGCCCACTGGAATGAACAGTTTCATCACAAAATGGTGGACGACCGTGGATTTCTGGTCTCTGGCAGCCACACCATCTCCCTACAGATGATGCACCGCACAGGTACTGCATGCAGCTCAGTAACCTAAACCCACAGGACAATAAGTGACAGTACAGAGATTTTAAAGTGGGGTTCTGCGGAAAGGTTATGAACAATTAATATCTAGATCTAATATTTTTAAACAATCTGAATTTGGAGACATGGTTTAATTTAGAGGATTGACAACCTAACAGCAAAATAAAACTCAGCCTTATTTAAACTCTAGTCTAGTCTATACAGCTGAGARAGTGAATGGTTGTTTGTCTCGTTTGTCTGTATGTGTCCCTATGTTCCTACGTCTCTACATGCTTCATTCATGTTTCTACATGTATCATTCATGTTCCTACATGTATCATTCATGTTCCTACATGTTTCTACATGTTCCTACATGTAACATTCAAGTTCCTACATGTATCATTCATGTTCCTACATGTTTCTACATGTTCCTAAATGTTTCTACTTGTTCCTACATGTATCATTCGTGTTCCTACATGTTCCTACATGTATCATTCATGTTCCTACATGTTCCTATGTTTCAACATGTTGCTACATGTATCATTCATGTTCCTACATGTATCATTCATGTTCCTACATGTATCATTCATGTTCCTACATGTTCCTACATGTATCATTCATGTTCCTACATGTTCCTACATGTATCATTCATGTTCCTACATGTTTCTACATGTTCCTAAATGTTTCTACTTGTTCCTACATGTATCATTCATGTTCCTACATGTATCATTCATGTTCCTACATCTCTACATGTATCGTTCATGTTCCTACATGTATCATTCATGTTCCTACATGTATCATTCATGTTCCTACATCTCTACATGTATCGTTCATGTTCCTACATGTATCATTCATGTTCCTACATGTATCATTCATGTTCCTACATCTCTACATGTATCGTTCATGTTCCTACATGTTCCTATGTTTCAACATGTTCCTACATGTATCATTCATGTTCCTACATGTTCCTATGTTTCAACATGTTCCTACATGTTTCTACATGTTCCTAAATGTTTCTACTTGTTCCTACATGTATCATTCATGTTCCTACATGTATCATTCATGTTCCTACATGTATCATTCATGTTCCTACATGTATCATTCATGTTCCTACATCTCTACATGTATCGTTCATGTTCCTACATGTATCATTCATGTTCCTACATGTATCATTCATGTTCCTACATCTCTACATGTATCGTTCATGTTC